GTGGGAGCTTTTGTTGGACTGCATAAGATGAATTCAGACTTAAGTAAAATGAAGAATAATAAAAAAATTGAGCTGAAGTCAAGTAGTACTTACCAAGGGAAGGAACCATGATCTTGCAGAACTTTCTCGTTACGTCGAGGTTCTTGATGAGGTCATCGGTAGGAGTATACGCCAACCTTGTGCAAATCCTCTCCAAGTTGGACCTTAACACTTTTTCTTTAAAATTTTTTAAGATGGAAAAAGAGACCTCAACCCTTTGTTTTTTGGTAGGAGGAGGTGCTGCAAAGAGCTCTCAATGAGCCATGGACTTCATGTTTCGGACTGTGGAAGGCACTAAGTTGAGGGGTTAATAACCTTATTCCTTCTGCAAGAAGAGGCCCCAAGTTGAATTTTTTTGGTCTAGGCCCTTTTGGGCCTGGGGACGTGTTAGAAAAAAAGAAAAGTTGAAGTCTTTGTTGATGGACATTTTTGTAAAACCAAGTTAAAAAAGTTGGATAAAAATCAAATTAAAATAAAATCCTATGAGGTTACCTTACACCCAACACAGTACTTCGTCTCATTTATTACTTTGGGAAGGGTTAGCCTATGGGAATCAATGATGAGCTCCCCTTACAGGTGTACTTTATTATTTTATCTTGATATGATAGATTTAAGACAAAGAGAGTTACTAGTACATCCACAAAAATAACAGACTTATTTATTATTTCCAATAGCTCCATCTTTGTAGCTATCTCGACTTCGATCTCATTATCTTTATTTTTTTTGCTTTTAAAGGTAAAAAAAGAGCAGCTTACAATTTTTTATAGAGCTTAGGCAATCGACGGATAATTTTTTATTGGGCCAAGCTATTATATAATACCAACCTTTTATTACTAAGGTTTTTTATAATGGCAAAAAATTTCTTGTATAGAGGAAGAGTGGGAAGAATGTTTAGATGTTGATAAAGAATGATAAAGCCTATTATATACCATATGGAGTTGAGAATGAGCTAAGTGATAGTTAAATTATAAGAATTAAAAATTGAAATAAACAAAAAATAAAGTGAAAACCTCATATCAATCACAAATGAATCCCAATATACATAGAGTTGATATGGCTATAGTTTATCAGTGACTTAATCTAAGAAATTCAACATTAACATGTTATACTCCTCTTTAGGAAAAAAGAAGGTCGTCACCAAAGTGTGAACGTGATGAGTTGAATACATGTTAGGATAGTCTTCAAGATTAACCATACTCTTTTAGTTTCCTTATCACACCTTTAAAGATCATACCGAGATCACAATGAGTATATATTGGAACCTCGATCAACTCATCTTACTTTACAAGATTCCCTTCTTCGCCATCAATTTTCCTAGCCAAGGTACTTATTTTTTTCTGTTTCTCCTCGAAACTCTTCTCATCATCAGAGTTTTTACTGTCAGAAAGCTAACTTTTGAGCAGGAGTAAGATTCTAAGGTTAAACTGTGGTTGAAAGCAACACGACTTTAGGGGAAAAAGATGAGGTGGGAACCTCTATGAGAAAAAGTACTCTTAACAAAAATTGATCGAAGATGAATAAGAATGACAACGAGAGCATCATAGGTGGAAAAGCAGAAGTAAAAAAAAATTGATGAGACTGAACTCCAGAAGAGGGAACAACTAAAAATAAAAGAAAGTCAGTTATAGAAAATGGACCAATTTAAAAGATGAGAAAAGAAGGTGGATTTCATATGTCAAAATCTATCTGACAACACCGTTCCTCTATGATCAGGACCTATTTTCCTTTTACCCAAGCATTGTCTTCATTTTGTTATTGTCTTTCTTTAAACATTGGGTTAAACCAAAAAGCCATCTTCTGACAATCACGACCTCCGATGACTAACAGAATAAGGTCATAGTCGTATTGGCTGAGCTTACCCCTTTAGGTTCTACCCTAAAACTCTTGACTTCCTCATAAATAAAACTAGAAGACATAATTAAAAATATGTACCCCAAAAAATGGAGAAAACGAGCGATTACAAGAACAACCCTAAGGCTAGAAAGCTTTTAAGATAAAAAAATTTAGATTAAACAGAGAACAAGGAAAGTAAAAAAGTGAAAAACGAAAGCACCAAAGCCTTTTATATAATCATGCCTCAGATCTGATGAATGACATAGACTATGCCACATGTCAAAGCAAATATGGGAAGACATTTTTTCATCTTCCCTTTTTAAATTTGTTCGCTCAAACTACCTCTTTTCTCAGTTAAAGCTACCAAACCAACCAAACCTAATAAACTACAAGTTAGACTGACCAAACCGGACAACTCCCCTTGACAAGCCGAATGCCCAATTCGTTGTCAAAGTTCAAAGTAAAGACTCTAATCTAAACTCTTGAAATAAAACACAAGTCTCACATCGATCAGACAAACTCTAACAGTAATCTCATATCATCTCGAATAATTGACACTTCAATAACCTTTAAGTTGGCTATATACTTAAACCAAAATATAAACCCAAGAATAGACCCCCACCAGGTCGGACCACGATTTAAGGACTAATGGTCTCATAACACTAACCTCCTCTATGACATCGGCTACGAAGAATCACATTTGATGTCATTTTCTTTTACCTATCTGTCTTGCATAGAATGTGTCAATCACATACCTAGTCGTCTGATACTCAGATTACTTGATAAAAGTACAGAATATTAGAGGCATTTAGTGGTCAAAATGATATAGTGGTCTTTTTTATGTTAGAAGCCTCCAATAGACAGTCAAAAGTAATTCTGATATTTGTGTTAACCTGACATGTCAAGTCAATCTGACACACCTAATGCTACATCAACTTACCTACATCCTTATTATCCCCTAATGGTCCCTTATCGTTTATCTATAAATACGAAAGTCCAAACACCATTAAGATAAGTTCAATCTGTTCTTAATTTTCTTTACTACTCTTCTTTCGACTTCACTCATTTTAACTTATGTGTTAGAGTGCAAACATAAAAAATACTCCACACTTTTACCTCTAACCATCCTTCTTTTTTATCTTTTCAAAATACCCTAAAATTAAAGCTTTGTATAATAGGCATTTTAACTACAATGGTATTCCAACCCTAAAACTTTGCCCTTTTAACAAACAATCCCAACATCCATGTAATTACAGCAACAAAAAGACAAGAATTCCATCTTAATAGACTAAAAAAAAAAAAAAACACAGTATATATAGTTGGAATAAAAGGCTAGGAGAGAAGGCTAGTGCACAGTGACATCAGCCATGCTTGACCTTTATCAGTGCACATGATCCTTGGATACTAATCATTTTCCATTTTGCTTTATCAGCCAAGACAATTAGATTGCTTTCGATTTTGCTCAAAAAGAAAAGTATATGGATATTAATTGTTATTTAAAAAACATTTTAATTCATCGTATAAAAATTACATGTAATAACAAAATTAAATGTAATGAGATTAAAAATAATGATGTTAGTAAAATTAAAACTTAAAATGATGATATTGATATTCTGAAATTGAAAACTATAATAGCGAGATTGAAATTAATAATAAAATAATATATTTAATTAATAAAATTTATATTTAATATATTATCAGTATAAATATTATATATTATTAATGCATCATAAATCATCGTATTATTAATTAAAATTTTAAAATCTTTAAAAATTAATATTTTAAATATTTAATTATATTAAAATAAATTAATAATATAACAATTTATGACTATTAAAAATATATATCAAATATAAATCTTAAAAAATAATAAAATAATAGATTATTTTAAAGTGTGTCCCGTGGAATGCGTATGGAATAAAAAACGCTCGTGTCTTTCTTTTCTCAAATTTAATATATATATTATATAACAACATACATAAATAAATTTACTACATAAACATTTATATGGATAACTCTCTTAAATGACACATAAGATAGATTTTTTAAAAAATAAAATATTTTTTTTAATTACAAATTAAATAATTTTAAATTTATTCAAATTATAATTAAAAATCAAATCAATTTAGAGATATATATTCTAAAATTAAATATATGAAAATGAATTTTATTTTTTTAATAAATAATTTTAGTTGTTTACTAAATAACCTTATTTAAAAAATTATTTAATTATCAAAATTTTTCAAACATGTTTAAAAATTACAAAGATTAAATTTATCTAAATCTTTTAACAATATTTTTTATCTTGATTTAAAAAATTATCTTTTTTAAAAAATTTATGTAAGTTATTAAAAATTCAAGTTATTTTATGTAAGATTTTAAAAATTAAAAAAAAAATTATCTTAAATCTTTAAATAATAAAATTATCAAAATAATTATATTCATTTGAACTCCAATTATTAAATTTATATTTCAAACAAATACAAAAAATTTAATATTATCTTTATCACTTATTATATTATTTTTAAATTTTAAAAAATTAATTTAAAAATTATTTATTTAATCCTAATTGCTACTAAAAAAACTTTCTACAAATTTAAGATTACAAATAAAATGTATTATATATCAAATTTTTTATTTTTTTAGTAATTTTTTTCTAAGGTATATTCTATTACTATTATAATTTGTTTTTTTTTTTGTTTATAAATTTTTTCTAAGTTATATTTTATTATTATTACAGTTTCATTCTTATGAAAAATAATATTTTTTTAATTTATTTTTCTCACATATTTTTTAATATTTTTCATATTTTGTATGATAATTTAATCAAAATTACTAAAGTAAAAATGTGTTAATACTTATTTTATTATTTAATTTATCATTAATAATATAAATATTTATTTTTTAAAAAAGACAATTTATTTTTATTTGATATAATTTCTATATGTATAAATATTATTATAAACAAAAATATCTAAAGGAAAGATTTAATTTTTTTCTTACTATTTTTATAAAATTTATTTTTTATTGACAAATCAATATATATATATATATTATATTATAAATTTTAAAGATTTGAGTATAATTTTAAAAAATTAATTTATATATATTCATATTAAATAAATAAAATTATTGTTATAATAACAAACGAAAACCCAGACAGTGCCGGACCCTAAAATAATAAAAAATTTCCCTATATCAGATAAAATCAGTCCCGAAGCTTAACTCTTGCATCTGACGATCTATTGTTAGATTTCCCGAATACCCACAGTCAAGAAAGCGGAGAAATGGACGCAGAAACGAGAGAGAAGATAAAGAAAACGGTGAGGGAAATACTGGAAGAAGCGGACATGAATGAAATGACAGAGTACAAGATTCGACAAATGGCTTCCCAGAAACTGGAACTTAACCTCTCCGACTCCAAGTACAGGGCTTATGTTAGACATGTCGTCAATTCTTTCCTTGAAGAACAAAAGGCCAAACAAGAAGAAGCAGAAGCTGTAGCAGACGGTGATAATGATAACAACAACAAAGAGTTTGATGATGATGGTGATCTCATTGTTTGCAGGGTTTGTTTCTTTCTTTGGGTTTTTTTTTGTCTTTTTTTTTTTTCTTCTTTTGGTGGGTTCTAAGTAAAGTTTGTGTTTTTAGGGTTTTCTGTTTATTGTTTTCTTTTGCTCTTTTCCCAGCTGTCTGAGAAGAGAAGGGTGACGATTCAAGAATTCAGAGGGAAAACTTTGGTTTCCATAAGGGAGTATTACAAAAAGGACGGCAAAGAACTTCCTAGTTCTAAAGGTAAATGCTTTGCTTAGCTTCAATTTTAGTTTGTTTCAGGCTAATTGTATGTCTTGGTTTTCTTTCTTTTGTCTTCTAAGATTTCAAGTTAAAGTTAAACTGGAAAAGATGAAGAATAAATAAAGAAGACTTATTATAGTAGTTAAAAGATGTTGAACTTATTCTTCTCAACAAGGTATGCGGCTGAAGTTAACCCTTGCTGTGTTTTACTATGTGTTCAACTTGTAAATGGAATAAAAGATGACTTGAATCTGCAGTAATTTTCTGGATTGCTGCTATTTTGTTCTACGAGATCAACAAATTTATGGTGCTTAAGTACTTTATATTTTTAACTTAATGTTAACTGATAGGAAATTTGGCTTCAAAATCTGCTCGAATGGTAACTGATATTTGCCACTTTTGTGATGTTGCTATGAGTGTTTATTAACTTTCACATACTGTTGCTAATGTCTCAATGTATCATGCTTCTTGATCTGTGCCCGGTTACACTTTTTTGTTCTCTATGTGCTCTTCAGGTAAATGTGATCACTGATTTGTCACTCAACTTGTATTGTATTCTAGTGATTCCGATTGCATAACTCAGTTCATGGATGCTTCCACCCATGTGCAGTGAATTCTATTTCAAACTTGCAGAGGAAAATTGTTTTTATTTTTATCAAATAGGCTATTTTTTTTTCTTTACTAAATCTATGTGAATACACTGCCTTATCTCTTTTTTTTTTTTTTCTTCAGTTACCTGCAATATGCTATCTCTATAAGCTGCATTTTTTTATGGGTGGGTTTTATTTCTTTGTTATGTATCTTGAGTTTCGTTGTTTTGTCAGTTTGTTTGTCTTTTGTTGCGTGGTGGATTTTGCAGATGAGTTCAATACTAGCTGTATATGTCTAGGATAATGTTTGTTTAAATAGAAATGTAATTATTTTGGTTTGTAAGCCTTATGCAGTTTATGCAGGTATTTCAAGGCAAATTTTCTATCATAATGGCCCTGAAACAATCCCTCTCTCTCTCTCTCTCTCTCTCTCTCTGTTTTTGTGTGTGTATTGTGCATGATTGTTGGATATTCTAGTTAAAGTGTTAATATATTCTTCATGATTGAACTCGATTGCCAGTTTTATCTCTCTCTCTCTGTGTTTTTTGTGTGTATTGTGCATGATTGTTGGATATTATAGTTAAAGTGTTAATATATTCTTCATGATTGAACTTGATTTCCAGTTTTAACATTTGCTTGTACCATTGATGTGAAGAATTTCATGTTTAATACTAGTTTTAAATTCTGGTGTTGTATCAATAGGAATAAGTTTGACACAAGAACAATGGTCAGCCTTTAGGAAGAATATGCCAAACATTGAGGAAGCTGTTAGGAAGATGGAGTCACAGACCATGTGACAGCGTCATCTGGTGACTGACTGTGAAGCCCTTTTTGAAATGTGTAATTTTAAACCTGAAGTTAACCTCAGTATCTATGGCATGGCGGCTATGTGCCTTTTACTAAGTCACTGTTTCGAGTCTGGACTATTTTTGAATCTCATTTTAGAATGAAGGGCTGATATAGCTCCTTGGAAATTATGTGGATCGTTTAATCAATGCGGATACAGAGATACTTAACAAGAATGTATGTGAAATACTTTGGCTGGAAAGCACGTATTTTTGTACTTGTAACTTATTCGGCCTACTTAATCTGAGTGCGGATTGGATTTAAGTTGTTATATATTGAACTGCTGTAACTTCCCTGGTAGCAGAGGGAACCACCAGGCTTTGACGTCGAAGCTGCTCTTTTTGCTAAGATAGTCTTTTATTCCTAAAAAAAATAGTGAAGATCCACCGTCATTTTCCTCCATCTTCTCAATCAAGGCCTCAGTGTTCACTAGTTCTGACAAAATATCCTCCAGTTGCTGAATGCTAACCACCAATTTCACTTTCCGAACTCCATTCTTCTGCGATGGCAGCACTCCCAGAGCCGATACACGTGACAAACTTTTAACAAAATCTGTTGATGACATCTTTGGTGGCTCAATCTGATCCTTCCAATCCTCTTCAATTTTCTTCACGGCTTCTTTGTTAACCTGTTTTCTTACCCCAGAGTCACAAGACTTTTGAGCCATCTCCAGGTGGAGAAGATGGTAAAATCCCCCATCAACCAAGCATTCATCTTCAGGCAATGGAAATGAATCTTGACCTCTTCTGCAAATAACATACCCTGGAAAATTGTTTACAATCTCTCAAGCTAGTTTAGGGCCCTTGACATCAATGATTTCACCAGCATCTGTTAAAAAACCAGATGGAGTTGCCGCACTCCCCAGTGACCCCTTTGAGAGAACAATTCCCCATTGAAAATTTTTTCTTAAGCCTTCACCTTCACCTTCACCTTCACCTTCACTCACAGGGCTGCAACTAGTATTCAAAACTTGGAATCATTGCAAAAACTAGTGGAAAGAAAATGAAAGGGGGAGACAATTTAAGTGGTGTTGTTTTCAAAATTTTGATCGGCGCCATATGATACTAGGCCGTTGGCAAATTTTTGCATCTAAAATTTGAAGGCAAATTTTGGGATCTTCCTTCAATTATGTTTGCCTCGGACTAAAAGGGGACAATTTTCTCAATTTTTAGTGTTTCTCGTTTATGTTGCCTGTTGCCTATTGGTTGGTTCATGTATTTAAGCAAGCAAAAGAGATCAACTTGCTCACGGGAAAATTGTCAGCTATCCAAGGATTTCTGCTTTTAGGTTCCATTTGGTTTTCACTTTTCCTCCAGTGTGATACACTTAAGCACCTTTTCAGTGGGATTGTATCGTTTGGATGACAATCAGTGCAGTTAAGCACTGCACCGCAGTAATAAATTTAGGCTGCATATGGATTGAAATGGTGCTGCTTTTATAATGAAAATTTATGCAGAAAAATGCATTTGGCTTACATGAATAATGTAGTAGAAATACATGTTCACTGTCCCATAGCTCTAAAATCTGACTGGTTCTTCGAGATCAAGTGAAAAAAGCTCACCACCAGTGGACCCTATCTTTTCAAATATGCCCTTGTTGTCTTTTTTTTTTTTTTTAGATTTTAATGTAGCAATGAAATGTGTTTAGTCAATTCCTATCCATTTTTTTATTTTGATTTTTGTATTTAAAAGATTTTTTCATTTTATTTATTTTTAAATTTTATTTTGAAACAAAATTAATATTTTAATATAAAATAATTATATTAATTTTGTAAAAAATAGTTTTTATATATTATTATCAATTTTATTAATTTTTAAATATTTATTAATAAAATTATTATTTAAAATGAAACTAATTTTAGTAATTTTTAATTATTTATTAATTTTATAAATGTAAAATAATTTAAATTTTTTATTTGATATAAATTTTAATATAATGTCTTTAATGATAATTTTTTATATTTATTATTCTTTATCTTACCGTCACCACTACAATTATATCCAAATACATATTCTATCATTAATTTTAATCTCATTACTATAATACTTAATCTTATTATAATAATAACTAATTTTACTGCTATCATTATTTTTAATCTCACTGAAACTAATTTCACTAACTATACAAATAAACCCTTAAAAGTGAAACAAAAATGTCTACATACTCATTGGATTGGATATTTTGCCCATAATTCATTTTTTTATTTTTTTATTTGTTTTGTTTTTTGTTTCTATTTTTATTTTATATTTATATTTAAATTATTTTGTTTTATATTTTATATTTCATATATTTAATATTATTTTGTTAAACAATATTTACAAATTTATAAATACTATTTTTATTTTTTATTTATATTTAAAAATTTATTAATTTTATAGATGAAAATTTAAAATTTTCATTATACACAAAATTTAATTTAATATTTTTAATAATTATTTTTTATTATAATTTATTTCACCATCACCACTATATTTATATTCAAATACATATCTTATAATTAATTTTAATTTTATCTTTAAAATAATCAATCTCATTTTTATTTTTAATTTCATCAAAATTAATATTATTGTCTATTTAAATGGATCCTAGGTCTTATTACTTATGAATAATACATAATTGCTGTCTGATGCAAAAAATTTAACTCCATGGCTTACGTATTGAGTCTAATTCAATGTGCTGAAAAAAAAAATCTAATTATTTTCTGCAAACGTCATAGGTGAATGAACGGGAAATATTTGGTTGACTTTTTCTTCAAAAAAAGTCAAAATTTGAGGATAGTGAAAGAATTATAAATATTGGGTTTTGAATTTTAAATTTAAATATTAAAAATAATTACTTAAATTAATTGAATTAAATTTATTTTGTATATATTACGATTAAAATATTTAAGGCAGATAAACTGAAAAATGGGCTCAGAGTGGGCTTGATGAGCCCAAACTCAGGAAGACATTTTGAACAGAGAGAAATCCGCTATCCCCACCTTACATATCCAATAACCAATCGGCAGAGCCATTTTCAAGATATCATGAATTGACATGTCTGTTATTGACACGTCCACATGGCTAAACCAGACACCACTAGATCATCCCAAGGCTTACAGCAATAATCCCATCAATTTCAAAATATAACGTCCAAAGATAAAACAACCCTTCCTCCATAATTCCATACCACACAAATTCTCTCGTACAACGTACCGCTTGCCTCCATAAAAATACATACAAATCCCACCCTCAGAGAAATATCATCCAAAAACCAAAATTCTTCAAAATTCTCTCAAAAAATGGGCTGCTCCGCCTCCAAACGCAGCAAGGCTACCGTGGATATCTACCGTCCGCCACCATCAAGCTTTGCGGTCTTCGACATCAACGCCATAGATGAACCATGGGTTAAGGTGGAGGAAGCCCCGCAAGAGAAAAAAGAGAAGCCCACCCACTTGCCGGCCGTGATTCTTGAGAAACTCGACACCTTTGAAACTGCTCCTCACTCTTGGGACGAGGTTAGCAAAGCCCTAGAAGATCTCAAGCCAACCATTAACAACAAAAACAACGATGACAAGAATCTCCAAGCTCCCACGTCGCCTCCAAAACCAGCAAAACAAGTTAACAAGCAACAGCCACGGAAGAGCTTAACTTTCCATACCTTAGAAGAGTTAGACGCAAAACTGTCTTCAAAACCAGCTGCAAACGAGTTAAGAAAAACCGAGTCAATAAGAAAGGAGATAAAAACGAAAACCACCGAGTTAAAGAATCCGGAGCCGCAAGCTTCAGCTCAGCCAACAGGGTTCCAGTCAGTAAAAGAGAATATATTCATAATAAGGGACAGGCAAGAGAGGGAAAAAGAAGGAAGGATGGTGAATTACGATAAGTTAATGAGCAAACGAGACCCATTAAGCGAGTTCCCAGAGATGTGCCCACCAGGCGGGGCAGACTCGGTGGTCATTTACACTACGTCGTTGAGGGGCGTTCGTCGCACGTTCGAGGACTGCACCCAGATCCGAGAGATATTCGAAGTTCAACGCGTGGTGTTTGACGAGAGAGACGTGTCCTTGCATGGGGAGTACCTGAACGAGTTAAGAAACTTACTAGGGGACGAAGCGAGCGTGCCGAGGGTATTCGTGAAGGGAAGATACCTAGGGGGAGCAGAGCAGGTGAGGGAGCTGAACGAGACGGGGAAACTGGGGAAGATACTGAGTATGGCACGCGCAGAGAGAGGGTTGGGGAGACAAGCGTGTGGAGGGTGCGGAGGAGCAAGGTTCGTGCCGTGTTTGGAGTGTGGAGGAAGCTGTAAAGTGGTGGTGAGTGGGGATAAGAGGGAGAGGTGTGGCAAGTGTAATGAAAATGGGTTGGTTCATTGTCCCGCTTGTCTTTAGTTAGAGCTTTTACATCTTTGTGTCTTTTCGTGGGTTTTTCTTTTCTTGTAACTTTGTGTTATCAATAGTTTGGGGAGTACGTGAAAAGGCTTAGATTTGAAACTTGAAAGACAAGTGGGATAAAAGAGAGGAAGACGAAGAAATTTCACATGTTTGGCTTCTAGCATATGTAATGTAATAGAATTGAGATTGTTACTGTGAGTGTAGTTTTTTTCCTTCTTCTTTTACCTTTTTAATGAAATGTAATCATATAATAATATTTGATAGTTTTTCGTCTGTTTGTAGAAATTTATTTGATTATAAGTAAAGGGGAAGAAATTGGTAGGCTAACCGTATGAAAAAGATATGCGAAGCAAAGAAAATAGTAGAAATGTGGAATAAAAATATATAATTCATATAAGGCTCAACGGAATCCAGTCCACTGCCCTCCCACTGAACGATAGATCCTTTAATGAATAGGAATAGATATTTTAACCTGCATGAACATCTTCTCTATTTAAGACTAATTAAACTCTCGCACACCATTGTTTGGATATTTTTGCTCTCTTATTCAAGCAGATCAATAAATGGAGAGGATAACAATAGCATCTTGAAACAAGAAATTGGAACAAAAATGAATTTCAAGTTGAAGAAAATGGAACTCGAAATTTCAACTTGAAGTCAAGAATTTTTTTTTAAATGCTTAACTTATAACCATTAAATTGTCATTAAGTTTTAAAACCAAACGAATGGAAATTAGCAAAGGGCATTCTAGATTTAAGTAAAACGATTCAAGTAATTGCAAAAGCAAATATAGACAATCAAAATGACGTCCTTAGAACTTCACTTTTCTGACCAAATCACCATTGAAGATAAAAAAGAGGACAACTTAGGACAGTCAACATCTCTCCAGCAACAAATTTGGCATAATAAAAGTGTTACCGCCCTTAATTGGAGGAGTCATCCGATAGTTGCAGTAGGTAAAAAATTTTGTTGAGAGAGATAGGGAAACTTCCAGGGCCTGGGCTGATATAGCCTAAGTTAACCACCCGGTACATAAAAACGTTTATCCGCTTACAAGTTTTTGGTCACCTGCCTAGCTTCTTTGACTGCAGAAAAGCTGTGCAGATGGAAGCTACCCTTGGCCAACAGAGAGTGGAACATGTTTAAACCAAATCATGTGAACTAACTCTACATATTAAGAAAGATTGTAACGATCAATTTTACCCCTTCTGTTTTATTTTGCATACGAATGATACAACATGTTCTGGGATTAAACTTCTGTATATGGCTAACATATACAATTGCCAGGAGAATGAGCATTAACGCAAAGTCATTCAAATCATCATTTGTTTCCCAAGCTCTTATGCCAAATAAGAACTTGCAAAAACATAGTGACCACTGCCCAATAGGCAAATGGGAGAAAGAAAATGTAATTATAGCTTTAGATTCACGGCAGCAAACTGCAAATAGAACTCAAATTATATAAAAACATCACAAATAAAGTTGATGTTTATCATTAGTTTTTATGTAATATGTATGTATAAGCCAAATCCAGTGACAAAAAGGGCAACCATAGCAATCCTGTGATAAAAAAGTTTTACATCTCCTAGGCTGTGGATCTATGCATTCAGTTCACCCACCCTAGATACTGTCTTAAATTCCCAATATACTCTCTATTTCTCCAGTTATTCTTCAACTCTTTGTGTATTTACTATCTGTACGCCTTTGTAGTATGGGATACTGCTCAAGGTTCTTGTTCACCAAATATATCCAATAGGGAGAGTGCCTGCAGATTTTAACAGGAGAAATTAAGATCAGAACAAAATGGGCTAGGTAGGAAATTTTCTTGGTTAGCAACACTTGTTTATCGTGTGAAATTTTACCTCAGGCACGTTTAGTTCAAGGCGGAACTTTGGACCATCATAGTGGTGGAGAATTGGCCTAAAGGAGTCCTCTTCAAGCGGCTCACAGGATTTCCTTGTAATAACTCGAACCTGCAGGGAAAAAAAGCATTAGCATTGCTTGTTCTTTTTCTTTGCTTGAAAGATATTGAAAACATCATATTGCTTTTCATAACAAACAAATAATTCCTTTGGCACATACCTGAGCAGGGAACCGTGATTCGCCAGGGCATTTCTTGTCCTCCCAGGCTGTTGGATCAATGTTTGTTCCTCCAAAGCTTGCAGCCTAAATAAAATAGAAGATCATTAAAACATCGTTAGAAACACAGTTCAGCGCTAATCACATTTAAGAAATAGTGACAGGCTAACAAGTGACCAAACCCTAGCCCCTTTTAAAGAAAACTATATAAAGCTACGAGCCACCCTACAGTGAAAGTTGCACAGCAACCATTCTGATCACCCTCGTTTGTACATTTTAAGTGTGAACTTGTGAAATTCGGTAATGGTAGAAGTCCATGATGGTCATTAAACGACTGAAAAAAGTCATTATTTCACCCAATCCCAGATCGAGTACAAACTGGAAATTGTATTAATCACATAAATTGACAGAAAATTATTTAGCAGTTACATGTAGAAATATGAGAAAATAGAAATCCAAACCTCAAATATTCCATGAAGTTGGTGGGTGGAGTAGTTGTAGAGGAATAGAGGCAGGCCTGGAGTTATCGCCCGGACTGAATCTCGGTAACGTGAAGGCAAACCTATAAATAATACATAGCAAAAAATTAGGAATACAAATCAACATAAATATCACTTCAAAATTTCCATAAAAATTTACTTAATCTAATCTTCAATAGAAAAGCAAAAAGTTAAAACCAAATCAAAAGCAGACCATTTTTCTTAGAAGAAAAATACTGGTAAAACACAGGAATTGAAAGAGAGCCAAAGACATACCAAAGAGCTGTCTCCTGAGATTCTCCTGCATGGTATCGTTGTTGCAAACAAAGATGTAGCCTCCAACAGTTTCATTCCTAGGCAAAGACTCAGATGGTGGCAGTGTCTTAAACCTCTTGTCAACAGCACTCTTACCATCATTATTTTCTCCGTTATTGTTGTTATTATTGTCGGTGTTATTGTTATTGTTCTTCTTGTTGCTGTTCTTCTTCCTGCTTTTGATTCCATGATCATCCTCTGCTTTATTCTTATTCCCCTTCAAATTAACATTGAAATTATTGTTATTCCCTGGCTTTGAATAAATTCCTTTGTTGAACCCTCCGTTGATTCCATCATTCTTCTGAGACCCCATCGGACCAATTGGACCGAACCCGATGTTGTTGCTACTGGTTCCAATTTTCCATCCATCATTGTTGAAAGAATTAAAATCAGAGACCTTCGACGTCAAGTTGTTAACAGAATTCACTTCACCACCGACTCTGATATCAAAATTCCTCCTTTCATCAGGCCTCTTCGAAACGTAACTGTTGCTCCAAATCGAATCATTAAGAGAAAGATTAGCCAAGTTCGAATTTTGGACCCTAAGTTGATCACTGAATTGCCAAAAGGATTGCTGGTTGTTCTCCATCCTCAACTACAATTCCCTTTCAAAACCTTCAAAAGGAAAAAAAAAAAAAAACTGGGACCTGGGTATCAAAGATGAGTTAGTTTCTCTAACTGGATGGTACAAATATATAGAATTTAATCTATGTATGTATAAACTGGTATGGTATCTAAGATGGTTTAAAACAGGGGAAAGGGAAAACGAAAGAAAATGTTTTTGAAGAGAGAGAATAAGAAATTTCGTGGAAACTGAGTTGGGGAGACTAAAGGGGTGATTAAGATTGCGTGATAACTTGTCAAAGTGGAAAATTACATGGATGGTGAAATACAAATGATTAAAAAATTCTTAAATTCATCTCAAGTTTTGAGATTTAGTTTTGAAAAACTATCTCAAGAAAATTTTAAGAAAATTTTAAATTATTAATAAAGTCTAAAATTTTCATCAATGGTATATAAAATAATAATTTTTAAAATTTAATTTGGGTTCTTTTTCTCCTTCTCTTTTCCGACATATGACAAATTTTCTTTCTAATTTTTTGATTTTGTGAAAATCTTTTGTATAATTTTTTATAAATAACAATTTTTTTGTATAATTGGGTGAATACGAGGATGATGACGGCGAAACGCGGTTTTACGTGGCAGAAGTTGGGAGGACTAAAGACTGAAGGACTTCTAGAAGGTCTTCTCAGAGGTTCTTTTATGATATTTTTTTTTTAGTTCACATTTACCTTTCATTTTGGTTGAGTTGACATTTGTCTTTCTTAAGGTTTTTTAAGGTTTGTTTTTTTATTTTAAAGAGTAGAGCCTTACAACAAAGAAGGCGGTTGGGATGAACTTTAATTTTTGCATTTTATAAGAGTTTTTTGGTCTGAAGACTCTTTGTCAAGGTGCTAAGGCTTAAAAAATGCGCGTTTACTTAACACTGTTTGGTCTGTGAAGCTTTTATAAGGGGGGAGGGGGGGGCGTGTGAAACTCGCGCGTTTGTCGATAGTTTTCTGGACGTGGGATAAGGTTTGTGGGCCTATCCAGGAATTGGATGGCCTATTTTTGGCCCAAATTGATGGTCCATTTTGAGATAAATTGATTGGCACCTTTGAAGGAAGAAAAATAATTTTTTTTATGGATCAAAATTCGATTTCTATGAAAGTATTTCGAATGTAGAGAACTGAACTCCTAAAATCACTTAAAAAAATATCAAATTGTAGCAAAATTTAAAGATATTATAAAAATAATAATTAAATTATTAAGTTAGCATAAGTTTTGAAAAAATAATTAAAATATTTGGTTATCATGATATTACACCTTCTTCTTCATAAAAAAGATCTTTCCAGTTAATCATATTTTACAAAATCAAAAGTCAAACTCTAGAATGTAGTTTCATTTAACTGGTTTTATGGAGAATCTTTTCAATATTAGTACCAAATTTATATACATGTATTATTTCTAATTGGTTCTTAATGTTTTTTTACTATATTAAGTCAATAATTAAGTTGGAATCTACTGAATTGGAGAGACTAAAATTGATCATTTTAATGAAAATTAAATAAGTAATCAAAATTTCAGAAAATAAGGATATTAATTCCAATCCTTAATATAAAACTTAGGATTTTAGACAAAAAAAAATTAAATTAGAATAGAGTTTCAAGTTAAGATTGTTTTTAACATTCCACAAAGCTTTGTAATATGTTTAATTAATACTAAAATCCCTACTGAATTGAATCAATTTATCAGTTGAATATTTTTATTTCCCACATTAGACTTTTTTCTTTCTTTGGTAATTTCTCAATTGCGTTATTGGGGTCCAATTACCTCAATTGAATCAATGGTTCAACGTTATGGGCCTCAAAGGAAGAGCTTGAAGGGAGCGTACAATGAAAAGAGGCCCTTCTCAACATTGTACTTTTCTCGCATGAAATGTATCAATGTCACACCTTGCACTCTCTTCTCTGATTCTCTCCAGAGTCAGGATTTAAGGTAGTCGAAAGTTCATTTAGCATCAAACGTGTTAATGAGAACATTATGATACATTCTTGCACTATCTAATAATTCCAACATATTTTTCTTACAGCAAACAACCGCTATACCTTCTTGCTAAATTCTTTCTTCGATCTTCTGACTCCTAATTATTGGGTTCTAATTGAGTCTCTTTTCCTCAGCTCCAAAATGTGTGGAACAATCAGGGCTATGCCGTCGCCAACAGTCTCAGCTCTCAAAAGAGAAAAATATCCAAAATAAATGAATAGTTATAACAGTAAAGGGCCTCGTGTCAGTTTTTGGCAGTGATATTGATAACTTCTATAACGAACTTCTTAAGGGAGACAGTGGTATCACACAAATTGATCGGTTTGATGCTTCAAATTATTCTGTCCGGTTTGCAGGTCAAATTCGTGATTTTTCTTCTAAAGGATACAGTGATAGGAAGAATGATGGCCGACTAGATAATTGCTGGAGGTACTGCTCGGTTGCTGGAAGAAGGGCCCTCCATAATGCCAACCTTGGTTTTAATGTCCTTAGAAAGTAAGTCTTGTGTTTTTGTAGTATCTGACTACTTTTACAAAATATGGTATTGCATTAGACAAGAACTAATAGAACCCCTCTGTTCTTATGCACCACAGATGGACAGAACTAGAATTGGGGTGCTAGTGGGTACAGGCATGGCCGCATGGGAGGTCTAACCGCTTTTTCAGTCCCTTACTCTATCACCAACATGGGATCAGCATTATTAGCCATAGATACTGACTTAATGGGACCTAATTTTTCCATTTCAGCTGCTTGTGCAATTGCAAATTACTGCTTTTATGCAGCTGCAAATCACATCAGAAGAGGTGAAGCCGACATCATGGTAGCTGATGGGACTGAGGCTGCTATCATGCCAACTGGGATTGATGGGTTTATAGCTTGTCGGGCATTGTCTGAAAGAAATGCATGATGAACCTAAGAGGGTTTCAAGACCCTGGGACAAAGATCGCGATGGTTTTGTTATGGGAGAAGGCTCTGGTTTACTGTTAATAATAAGTTAGTGACATTACTCTCTCGTTTTGAGTTTAGTTGTATTGGTATTTGGTATCGCTAGCATTTGTGAATTAGTCTTTTCTTACATAATTCTTCCTTGCATACAGATTATGGAGAGCTTGGAGCATGCAATGAAAAGAGGCCCTTTGATGTTAATCTTGTAGGCTGCTGCATTGCATGAGAATGGATTCAGTATCTTTTTGTTCAATAAATATATAGGTCATTTCTCTATATTTTCGTGTTTGTTGATGGACTCATTCCTCTGCTTACAATAAAGTTATACTCGATTTCTGTTTTCTGTTTTCTGTTTCGAGTTGAAGCAATGGGCATGGAATTGAATCACCGCAACCATCCCCATAGGCAATTGACTAAAATCTCTTGTATTCTTCAGGAAAAGATATTATTAATTAGATTAATCTTTGCCAAACGAATATTCGTACTGATTCAAGCTAAGTGCAGCAACCTGGAAGCAAATATCTATATTTATCACAGCTTTGTTGTGGCTTTCTTTAGTCATTTCTGTTTCCACCCCTTTATCCAAAATTCATTTTTAAGGAATTTCCTGAAATGTGTACGAGTTTATGGTCTCTTTCCCTGGTTCTTCTATAAAACAAAGGTTTTTGCCTTGTTACACCAGGATCTTACACTGCCTCATGGCCCACTTGCTACTTTAAATCTGAAGCCTATACTGTTGTCGTTAATCATGACTTAAGAATTTTTATGAAACAGAACATCAATAACTTTGATTATGTTAAATGAAAGAAACCTCAATGCTTTCTTCTCTACAACACGATATAACCAGAGAGGAGTAAGATTCATATAATCTATCTTTATTACCTTTGACACATCAATTCTCTGCAACTTGCTGGAGACAATTAGACAAAGACAATTGAAAATTACTCCCATGAAAATATTCTACCTTGGATGAAATTGCTTATCCCCTCAAGTTTCTATTTGTTGATAGTACTAAACACTAGATTATCATAATATTACTTTTAAACTGACATTAAAGTTAACAAACCCACTTGCTTGGTGCCGTTAACTGTTGTGGCTCATGAATCCGATAATGCGCATGAGCAACTTGATGTTGAGGAGAACTTAGCTACCTGCTCTATTGTCCCTTAATCCCTCCATAATGTTTTCTTATAAACTATTATTAAGACTAGATTAGACCATCCTTAGGCTAACTCCTCCTACTTTTAATCCTTTTCTCATTTTAGAAAGCCCACATTGTTAGGACTGCAGCCCAAGGCATCGCGTGACCTTTAGTGAGATCACCTTTATCGTTTTTATATATTATCTTTTTAGTACAAAGAGACTTTAGTCTCTAAAGACAGATAGAGATGATAGATATAATTGAATCTCAGATCTATTAAATATTATTTTTTAAAAGTGATTATAATGAACAATTGATATAAATTTTGGGTTTTATAATTTTAGTACAAGGATATGCCTCTAAAAAATCCTTATTTCAGACTTGGTTTAATTCAAAGATTCTTTTTGCACTGAGCAGTAATGCCATTAATCTCTTCAAACTTTTAAGATTCAATCCCTTTCATTGTAGTTTTATGGCAGTGGGTATTTCCATTTTGCAAGCAAATAATACAACTCCATCACCATAGTTTTTTAATTGATTCAAGTAATTGTTTGAGGTATCAGCCGGTTGTTACAGACTTTTAACTTATATGGCAGGATTTTGAAATTTTCAATTTCACATATATGTCAGCAGTTACATGATTACTGAAATAATTAGACATCTTCTTATCTTATGTCATGCTTCTCCAGTTGACCAAATGAACATGACAATTTATTAGTAGTAATTAATTAAAACTATAGGATGTTGATTAGTATGATCTTCATATTGTTGGTAGGTAAGCTAACAGCCTAACATCAAGCTCGTATTCTCGTACACTACTATCTCGCGTATTTCTATGTATGTAACTACTTCAATATAAAAAATAATAATAATATCATTAGTTATACATAAAATAATTGATTCCAATCCCATAAAAAAACACTCACACATAAATGGATTTGACAATGATACCATACTTTGTGCACTCATGAGTATATTTGGTTACTCAAATGTTTAGTAGTACAAATTAAAACTTTGAAACAACAAATGAAAGCGTCATATTGTATATGAATGGCACAAGGCATATCCCAAATGTGTAATGTACAGTTCCACCGTTGGATTCCTCCTTCACCTAATTTGAAGCACTAAAATGGTGGAGCCAATAGGGTTTCAATTAGGGCAAAGAGGAAAAGAAACGAAGATGAAGGCCAATTAAAGGGTAGTAACATGGAATTTGACTTTGATTTTAGATTAGTGGTAACTGGTAAGCTTATTCATTTTGAC